AGCACCTCTAGTAATATATTTACTGAGAAAAATGGTGACATGTTCAATACTTATTTTACCTGCTGTATGTGGGAGCCTTTACAGGTGTAGATGTTACCATGTCAACTGCGTTCTTGTGCGACTGACTTGTGATAACAAAAAATATTTTTATTCACRATGTATGAAGTTACACAGTTTGGTTTTTCTGACAGAGGGATAAGGATTTGTGGTAAAAATAAAACACTTCTGGGGATTAATCTGAAGGGTTCACAGTGAAGGAAAACAGGTTTATGAGACAAACATGGGAGAGGACATCATATTTTTTCCCCCTGCTGATGTTTCGTATAAACTTTGTTCTCAGATTATTTTTCTCTGCAGCCTCAGAAACTAATTGATCCAGCATGTGTTTCGTTCTGTATCGGTTCCAGGGTTTTGCTGAGTATTTCCGAGCCTTTGGGGGAAAGAGGAGTCTGTGGTTTTTAAATCAAAACAGATCGCCCCGAGGGCTTTGTCACAGAGGCAGACCAAGGCAACTCAAAAAAACAAAAACAAAAAAGCAACACTTTTTTTGTCTTTACAGATGACTGTTAAAAGTAATATTTAGTCAGTTTTTACTGTAATGAAACTGTTTTGCCAATCTCTTCGCATCCATTTTTTCTTTAACAAAAATGCATTTTCTCCTTCTAGGTTTAATCGTCTTTTATAACCTCCTCTCTAACCTCAGTTAGTCGAGACAGATGGACTCTTGTTCTGCTACTTTCTTCCCACCAATATGCTGCTCAGGATCTGAGACAACGAGATTCAACAGAATCAACCAGCTTCTTTACAAAGATAAGTTTTAGCCATTTACATTTTTAAAGTAAATGTTGTACTTTGCCCAGAGATAACACGAGTTGTGCAATGGTGCTAAATAAATCAACAGAACTGAAGCTGAAATTTTCCCTCTTTTTCTGCAGAAACCGACTACAGAATGGGATTATTGGAATGTAAAAGCTAATTTTAGACGCCGACACAATCCACCCACAAACTGCAGGTAAATAGCAGCAGAACAGAAAGCAGCTAATAAACTGTAGGAGAGAAAATGATCCTCATCAAACTCCAGCCTTTGAGGACTCTAAACAAACACACCCCAGCTCTTCTGAATCCCATCAATACTCCTGCTGGAGTGGAGGCAGAGATCACAGCGAGAGCGCGCAGATCGAGAGCAGATAATAGGTTTTATGACACCAGAATCTCCTTCAGAGGAGCAACAACAAGGCTCAGAGCCCAGACACTTCAACAGCAAGAGATTAGCTTCCTGTTAGGAAGGTGGACCAGGGTTCAGACCTGCTGATGCTCCGCAGACGAGTTCATTTCCATCTTTTCAACAAAACTGAAAAAAGCTTACAAACAAACAAACAAGCATCCTGCTGTTTGCTCATCTTCTCCCTGGTTTGTTTGTGGCAGCTTGTCAAGAGCGATAAGAGTCGCGTCTCGGCTGCGGTGGCGTGATGAAGGCTCAGGGTCCTCCAGGGGGTTTCAGATGGCGCTCTTTTCGCTGAGCACTGACACGTGTTGTGACGGGGCAGCTGCCTGACAGACTCTGGAGACGGCTTGTTGTGACCGAACGAGGCTGACGGGGTTCAACGGGCCAAGGCTCTGAGGTGGACTGGGCACATAGGACTGCAGCTATACGATTAATTTGTCTGAATAATCTGATTTAAAATGGMTTTTTTTTTCAGGTTTTGCTGAGATCAAAATAAAATTACTATACTCGTGTTTATGATTTTAAGCTCCATTTACTTTTTTTGTGTGTGAGGTTTGAGGGTGCATTAATTAAAAGCACAAGCTCATTGAATCATTTCTTTAAACCACAGAAAAATCTAAATGTTGTAAACTCATTTTTAGTCTGGAAAACTGAATGTGATCCTTTATAAACTGTAAATAAAATATCCAATTATCCATCCATTATCTTAACCCGCTTCTTCATTTCAGGCTCACAGGGGTCACTGGTGACCACATCACTGTCACAGTGCAAGGTAGACCTGGACCGGTCACAAGTCCATCACAGGACCACATCGAGACAAAAACATTCACTCTCTCACAACTAGAGTTACCAAGTAACAGTCAGTTTTGGTCTGTGGGAAGAAAATGGAGAAAACCCACATCTGCACAGAGTGAACATGCAAACTCTACCCAGAAAGATCCGAGGCTGAGATTTGATCCAGCAACCTTCTTGCTCAGAGGCAACAGCTCTACTAACTGAGCCTGTTAGAAAGTAAAACAGGTAATGTAAAAGTCTGAGGTTTGCATATTGAGTTTTGTAGAGTTCACTTGTTATTAATAAAAGTAAATTTATATTTTTATTAGGATTGTATTTTTGTGTTGGTGCAGTGTTCATAGTTCCCTTTTTACGCACTATTTATTAGCTATGAACAAAGGAGAGTAGTAATAAATGAAGGCTAATGACAGGTTTCAAAGTCATAAAAAGCAGTAGCAAAAAATAAAATGCTAATAAGGACTATAAATACTTTTAAATTTGAAACATTCACTCCAAGTATCTCATTTAAGATAAAATAGCAACAAATAAATGCAGTTTTGCTCATGCCATCAATCTGTCGCACAACTTACAAACTGTTGAATATACCCCGCCCACGTAGCCACTATGATTAGACAGTAACTTCAGCCAAAATATACCTCCTTGTTCATTCGCAGCATGAGATTATCACAAATTAAGTAAACATAATTTGCAAAGGGAACATAAATGATATCTGTTGTTAACACAAACAAAATTCTTGTTTAGCGTTTAATCATTTTCTCAAACTGGGGTTGCATTTCCTCTTGCGTCCATACCCTTGGAGGTTGGGTACAGTTCCACAAACCTTTTATTTTTTAATATTACTCTCAGCTTTGGTGAGAGGAACATGAAGTAGCTTGGAGATGGTCTTCCAGACTATCTTTAACATATGATTGATTTGATTTGATTTATTGATTCAACAGGAAAAGATTACTAAAAATCAAGCCTTACTCAGCATAATTGCTGTTTTAC